ATATATATATATATATATATATATATATATGTAATTTCAAATATTTTGTTCTTAAGACGATCTTATAGCCTAAGACTATCAAGTTTTACAAATTAGAAGCTTTTTAATATAGTGCCTTACAGGTATTGGTCAATAGTGCCATTGATTTGTATGCAAGCTTTGAAGAAAGAGTTAATTTCAGGTCTAACTTTAGTGAGAATAAAATTGAATCATAAAAATACAGCAATACTTAAGATAATGACAACAAAAAATGGTGAGGTCTGCAAGTCAGCCTAAGTGATGCAATCCTACAAAATCTCAGTTGAACAAGCCAAAAATTACATTTGCTGAATAATTTGAAACAACAAAAATATGTAAAGACCTGTAGTTTCTTATACCGTTCAAATTGCACACAATTATGGAAGGTCAATCGCAGAAGATAGGATGGGCAAATTATGTTCCTCACAAAAATATCATGAAGGCTGGTATCAGACTATATGTTCAATATAGCTTTGAGTTATCACAACTAAATGATTTATTTTATCATTTATTTATATTTATTTATTTTATCAGCTGACTAGAGTGAATGAACCAGTTCTGAAAATCTACAGTCACCTAAGAGATATAAAAAGAACACAGAAAACATGAAATATTATCCATCATGGAATTCTCAGTGTTCACATATAACCAAAAACCAAGTTATATAGATTCAAATGAATTTATCTATGCTGTCATTGAGAAAACATAGCCTAATATGGATATGAATGGAAAAAATTACACGCCCTTGTGTACTACTGAAAGTAAGTGAAAGCTAATCATTCAGATTTCATGTATAGATAAGCTAAGTCTGGAACCAATTGAGATATTATTGGAATTATGGCTCAAAATATCATTAACTATAACAGTACCCATCTGATGATTCAATGCATTCTAATCATTACAGGTTTTAGTTTTCTTGTGTTTTGAAAATACACTATGTATGTATAGTCACCTTGTTATATAAAATTGGCTTTATTAAGTAACTTTTTTAGTTTTAATTTATATAATTAGTCACTTTTGTTCAGGATTTATTATTAATTGATAAACTTGGAGAAAATGAAAATCAGAAGCCAAGGATTATTACAAAGGACAAGATATATCTCTTTGAGACAAAATTTGCACAAACATAATGCAGTAAAAAAAGAAAGAAAGCAAAAACAAAAATTGAAATGAACAATAAATACAGATCATAATATTTCAAGCAAAAATGGAAAAGTAGTAGTATCCTTTTTTATTATAAAGTTTCTCCATAATCTTTATGCCTAATAGTCTTTTAAATTATTAACTAAAAAATAGCCAATAATGCAAACAGACACCAACTATGCCTTCACTGACAATCTATGAATTGTTTTTATACTACAATATCACTGTGTTGAATGTCAACAGTCAAGACAAAAACAATAATATACACAATTTTGTTTTACATTCAGATAACATCATAAAGTTGGTAATAAATCTTGACAGCAAAATGTTTTGTCACTGAGTATCTTTAAGAATAGACTTCAACATGCATCTACTATACTGATTAGCCACTTTCTAAGTTAACCTTACTTGCAGAACAATCCCATTTGCTTGCACATGTAATACTTGACTGATCATGTGACTCCTTGAGCCCAATATGCTACATCTACAAGACCATGGATAAGAGTAAAAATCTATATGACTTTCAATGGAGAACAATAGTGATGCTTTTTAGTTTTTTAACCAAAGATAATTTAATTAAATGCTCAAAAGACACCTGGCATCAACCTACCAAAATTAGCAATGAAAAAGGAAATATGTTTTTCCACTAGTACAAACTGTGGCAGTTAACTGGTGGTGTAAGACCATAGAAAAGAAAAATAACAACATCTGGACAGGCTTTAGGTTTAGGTTTCAGTTTTCAAAAAGCAAATTTTGAAAAGATGAGACAAGAATTATTTGTTGTAAGTTGGGCAACTGAATTAAATGGAGATTTTGATCAAATGTGAAGAGCTTTTAGATATATTTTTAAATATTCAAGATAGGCACATTCTTTACAGAAAAAAAAAGAATGGCTACAAGCAAAAAACCAGATTGGTTCACAAATGGTATGAAAGATAAAATTAAAGAAAATAATTATAAATTTGAAAAGTTTAAATCGACTGCTATGATGGATAGTTTAAAGAATTATATAAAATAAAAAAATTTTCAAATGGCAAATTAAGAAATATATATATATTTATATGAAAAAAGCTCAAAATGTAAAAAGTAACAGTATTTCAAAGGTAAGCAAAATGTTAGGATGAGAGAAAGGCCTTTGAGGGGATGATACAAGAAGGTTCTTTACTAATAATTATGAGGGGGATGGGTTATTAAATTCTACATTTTCTTCAATTTTGACTAATGAAGGTTTAAGAAGTATTTCTCATCTTGAACAGTTGCTAGATGGAAACAAGATTGAACAAGATGATCACATTAATTCTGAGCTTGTTAAGAAAAAATTGAGAAGTTTAAAGATAATATTTCCCAAAGGGTTTTTGAAAGAGGTTAAGGATTAGATATTTCAGCCACTTGCCTACCATTTTCTTGTAAGTCTTTAAATAGTGGACAGGTGCCAGAAGAGTGAAAACTGGGTAATGTTATTCCTCTTTTCAATGGAGGTGATAAAAACTGTTCCAGTAATTATAGACCTATTAGTCTTACATTTGTGATAGTTAAAGGTTTTGAAAGTCTGGTAAAAGATGCTTTGCAAAGTCATTTAACAAGGTTTAAAATTTGGTTTGATAATCAACATGGTTTCACTAGGGGAAAATCTTGCCTTACTACTCTTTTGGTATTCTCTGAAGAGCTTACTGTTTATGTAAATGAGGGTACTGGTGTGGATTTGGTATATTTGGATTTTCAGATAACATTTGACAAGGTGCCACATAAAAAGTTTGATAAAAAAAATTGTTTCTGTAGGTGTTGGAGATAGATTGGCTCATTGGATAGAAAACTGTCTGGATGAAAGAAAGCAGAAGGTTGTTATATATTCAAGCTTGCTTTAATTCAACTGAACAGTTGCAGACTGCAGGAGGAGGTCACAGTACCTTACTATGTGCTTATCTCAACTCAATAAAACAGACTCAGGCTACAGGAAGAAGGTACAAGTGGCATGTAGTATAGCTATATAAGGAGTGACCTGCGCTACACTGACAATGGCACCCCTTGTTCTAGCACCAGCAATTAGGTCTAAATTGGTGAAGATTTTACATGGTCCACCACCCCAGCGGCTAGGAACTGGTAAATGGCAAGGGTATCCTGAGCTCCATTTGCAGTAGGGAGACCTGGAGAAAATGCCCAGATCCTCATTAGTCTTTCAAGAGTACTTGGCACTGGGAGGACAAAACAAATGCAAAAGAGCCCCCACCTCCTCAACCAAACAGGCAAGAGATATTCAAAGTTTGAAATTACAAAAGGGAATTCAGAATGACTGAAATCTAGGATATAAGAATCAGATAAATGAGGAGGGTGAGGCATGAGGTTGTAGAAATGTAGTTGTTCAATAAAGGTATTAGCTTGAATGACAATGTCAGGAAAATGTAAAATGAAAAGTCATTAGGTTACAACTAAGAAATAAGGAATGATAAGGATCATACGACACAGGAGAAAGAGAAAAAAATGGTACATACCTGTGAAATTAAGTCCTGATAATGTAAGAAAATTTGAAGGTTCTCTTCAACAGGGAGAAAAGTTCCCAAAACATAACCAGGAGAAGGAAACAAGCAATCAAATTCATCTTCCTCATTCTTCCCTCAAAAGAGGTGAAGGAATGCCTGAAGATGGGACAGGTGCTGAAGGTCCTGGCTGCATAAGGGAACTCACTATCCTATACACAATGGCTGTCACATCACCCTCAGTCAATGTACCTCCATAAGTCATAAATGATACATAACCTGTGTGAGGAAATTGTTCACTCACACAAATAGTATAAGATATTACATGAACTTGCAAGTTCATAGTTTGTAGGAACAAAGAAGGAAATTAAGGTCCTTAAACATCACAAATCATGTTTAACTGAAAACAAAAAAACACATCTGATTTGTCCAGTTCCGAAGAAAAGAATGAATATTCACAAATGCACAGAAGAAGTTAGTGCACAAGGAGTTGTGTTGCCCTTCTATTGATGGAGGGCTTTTGCTGCATAATGATATTATGCAGTAGCTCAATTCACAAGATTTCTCTCAGATTAGGTGGGAATTCACTAAAGGCTAGTGGCATGCAAATCTCTAAGGCAGATGCACAGGGAAGATAGCTTAACTATGTACAGAGGTGTGCTATCATTTCAGAAGGATTTTGTGTTCTAGTTGACCAGTCTATTAAGCCATCCAAGCAATTTGCTGTAGCTAGTGGCAGGGCAAATAATATTTTAGGGTGTATTTACAAAAATACTGAATACAACCCTAATGAGGTTATAATTTCATTGAATAAGTCACTGGTTAAGCCACATTTAGAGTACTGTGTTCAGTTTTGGGATGCTTACCTTAGAAGGGACATTGAATTGTTGGAAAGTGTTTAGAATAGGACTACCAGAATGATACCTGGAATGAAAGGGTTGTCACGACAGGTTAATATCTCTGAAATTGATTTATCTTGAAAAAACGAAATTAGAGGGAATCTGACTGAGTTGTTTAAGTTTGTTAAGTGAATTGGTAGTGTTGATGCATTATCTTTCTTTCACACTTAATGGGGAAGATGGTAGGACTATAGAACACAAATATAAATTTTGGCAGCATAGGAGTGGTCTTCAACTGACAGTTTTACTTTTCTAACAGGGTAGTTGGCTATTGGAATGGGTTGTCTTCAGATGTGGTGGATGCAGTTAATTTAAGGGAAAGCTTGATAAATATTAAAATGTTAAGAGCTTCTGAGTATTTTATTTTTATTTCAAAATTTAGTTTAGTGGATGAGATGACCTAGAAGGACCAATAGGCCCTTTTGTCCTTAAACTGTATGTATACATAAAGTGCAACACACATAAAAATACTGGTCAGGATTTGATTATTTCAAGCTGTACCAAGCATACAATTTAAAAAATAGACATGAAAGTTGGCAATCAGTCTTTAGATACATTGTTACCACTACTGCAAAATCATAACTAAAGGATTTAATTTATTTTACGTACAAGACCAGCTAGGCCAGAGTGTGGTAATTGTGTTCTTGCAATAATGCAAGCTGCTAGGGGTGGTTTAATGGCATTGGAAATATTCAAATTGCAAGGGTTTGTTCTTCAAGTTCATTTAGAACACAGATGACATTTAAAATTTACCTTACATTTGCTGCTGATGGAAATATTGCATTGTTCAAACAGCAAGACTTTAGTTAACTTTCTTGACCAGTAAAATCATTGTATCTCAATTTGAATAAACATCTTTGGGATAATCTTTAGCATCATATTTGCCATGTAATTCATCTGACAGCCAACTGCAGACCATATTCCCGGGAAAAATGAGCTACAATCAAATAATACAGCTTTTAGTATTTTGCAAAAGTCTATGCTGTACCAAGTTACTGTTGAGGTAAAATGATGTGTTTCAACACAAAATTAGGTGTGAGGTTCTAATAAAGTGGCCTGCCAGCATAGTAGTGGGCCTGAAAAGGACTATTAATTTACAAATTATACAATTACATGTAGCAATAATAACCATGGAATTTCTAGAAAATGATGTAATATTGTCCCTAATCTATAGTTTCCTTGTTTAAATAATTTTGCAATGAATATTTCAAAATTCCAATATCCAATTTTTTTAAAAAGAAGATTATAAATGTAAATTTACTTGTAGACAGCTCTTTTATCTGCCTCAAACTGTGACTGAGCTGCTGGGTCCATAGCAGGTTGAGATGTCATACTGCCTCCAACTAGTGCTTGTCCAGACACCTCTGACATATCCCTGCACTGACCAATCATTTGCGAAGAGGTGTTTGGAATCACAGGTATGGCAACACTCGGTGGGACAACTGTAATACCTTGCGTTGTCCCAGGAGAGGGTTCTTGCATACTTGTACCACAACACCTAAAAAAAATTATAATTCAATATATAGTTAAATTTCGAGAAAATTACTAAAGTAATAACATAAACATGTAAATATGAAAAACAACAGCAACAAAATGCAAGGGTAAGGTTTGAAATAAATAATTACATGTTTTCTTGAAACAGCATTTAATCTTGTGAAAATCATAGGTAATTTTAACTCTAGGAATGCTGAATTGTAAACACACACATGAAGTGAGCTTTGAAGTTAATCTTGCATCATATTCTAAAAGATACCTGCATAGATATTATCTAATTTTCTTTGCTTTTAGTATTTTTTCTTGAACAGCACATAACATAAGAAACTAACCTAACAAAGCACCAGTGCCACTGGAACTTTATCAAAAATATTCTTTCAAAAACTTTTTCATTCAGATACACTAAAAAATTCTAAATTCTGCATATAAAATGTATTATGAGTGCAAGAAATTAACCACAATCTAAACCCTAAAGTACAGTTTCCTAACATAGAGTTACCTTGCTAACAGGCACTATTAATAACTACATGTTGCTTTCCTAAAATTTATTATTGGTAAAACTGCCACCACCATAGTCATTTTCAAGACTAGAACCCTAATAAAAAGCCTGATTCAGTACACTAGGATGTCACATAGCCATGCACGCTGTATATTAAGTTATATTTTCTAATCATATAGTACTTTTATGGTTACAAGTGGTCAGAAAGAATATACCACATAAACACAAGAGAAATAAGTCAATGTTGACAAACATCTGCACCTGATATATTACTGTACCCTAAATGAGTTGTTCACAGGTTAACAGCTGTTGAAGCAGATAGTCTCAGTATACCTAATATTGCTATTGGACCTGACAGATTTTTTTCATATCAGGCCTTCCCAGGACTGTTATTGTTAAGTTAAACAGTGGTGCCTGGTAAGAATGTTACAATTTAGTACAAATGCTATCACTTACAAACTATTAGCCAGAGACACACACTGAAACCTGTTTAACCTATAAATAAATGAAATTAAGCTTTTTTCCTTGTGTGTGTGATGAAAAAATGGCAGTGGTAATAATGGCTCCTGACATAATACAAAGTAAAAAAAAAAAAATTCATGGTGTCTTCCCATAAGAAAGGAACAGAAACAACAAAAAAAAAAATACTTATCAGTTTACTTACAAGTTCTTTTCTCTCCTGAATTGCATTATACTGGTGCTATCCCCCCCCCAAACAAAACACTGAACATACGAGCACCTTTAGCTTACTGTTTGCTCAAGACAAGAAATCTCTGCAAAAATGTCACAAGTTCAATAACTATTGTAATTAAACATAAATATTTATGTGTGTGTGTGTGTGTCTGAAATATTCATATATACATATCTCATTCTTCTACTCTTCCAGAGTGTACAGATCATATAAGTTTTATTTTAAGTTTTTAATAAAAAAAAAAGATATACTTCAGAATATTGTACATTTGGTCTAGACTAATTTAACCTTATTTGCTACTTTCTGTAACTGGATTCAGTCAAGGGGAGCTTCTACTATTCATAGGTGGTTGCATTATATCTTACATTACCTTGCTTCATGATTATCACATGGAGCAGAGATACTTCTGGATACAAATGACTCATTTTGTGACTTGTCATCAACACAGAGAACATGAATCATAAGAGCACTTTTCTGGATGTTGTGAGATTCCCATTTATCAGAGAGGAAGAACTCAGTTGTGAACATTTTCTCAGCCTGCTGATCATGCATATACATTTTCTTTTAGTTAGCCAGCCAGTTTTCAGTTTATTCCAAAATAAAGTCTATTTTAATCTTCCTTTGTTAAATACAGTATGTTTTTTTATATCATTCTAATGAGCCTAATTCATTACTTCTCCTAACATTACAATAGTCTCTTCCACCAGGCTCTCAGCCAGTATTTCTTTCATTCACCTGTTTTCTCTGTAAAACAAAGTGCCAATTTCTGTTTAATTTCATACCATGCCTTTTTATTTTTAATTTCACCTATACAAATCACTATACTTGTCTTTCCAAATACTAGATTTATGAATGTCATCTTGTTGTAAATATTAGGTATTTGTGTGTTTATAGTCCAATACAGATCTAAGAATACCTCAGCTTACCTTGATTACGATAAAATTTCTGGATTATCAACTATGATCTAGTTATTATGGAAGTGATAGTTAATGTGCATCTTTGACTTCCCTAAGGTATTTCTCTCTTATGTATTTCATGATATACTGTCTGAAAAATGTTTCTGCAACATGGCAAAATGTATGATGGAAAAGAGGAGAGCCAAACTGATTTGTAGGTCTGATCAAAAGACCCTAAATTGACCCAAAGGGAGTCCTTTGTTGAGTATAAAGTTCTCACTAGCGCTTTAGCAAGCATTCAAGAGCTTCACACTCCCCTCACTCATTAAGACACTGAATCATAACTTGGTTCTTTCAAAATCATTGATAATATCAGTTATTCTTGTGTGAATCAGCCAAGTTGAAACTCACTGATGGGAAACTGCAATGAAGGAGTAACAAGCCATGGTGTGTTTAAGTATTCTACAAACAAAAATCCATATGTACATGTTGTATGCTTATACACACATGCATACATTAGTATGATAAAAGTTCATAAACTCATATTATATAAAGAGCACAAGTTAACCAGGATCCAAACATTGTTTGAAAGAATGAAAATTACATGAGAAACAGAGTAATGAAAGTGAGAGTAACATTTCATTGCTTCAGTAAAGCATGTTTACCTGTACAGAGCAAAGTCTGTGCAGAAATTAGTACTTCACAGTTACAAAATTGTATTAGCAAAAAATGCAACTAAGTTAATGTACAATATATTTGGAAAGTTTTAAACTATCAAATTCTTTTAAACATGAATATTAAAATTTCCCTAAACTGAAAATGAATTTCCGATAGATACTTACCTCTCTCTCACAAAATAGCTTTTCTCGATTAGTACTGCCCTCTATTGGTGCAAATTTTCAATGCTTGCCACTAGCCTTCCACTTCTGCATATCCATGTGTAAATGATTATGAGGCAGCTCTCCACCGATAGGAGTGTGACACAATCCCTATCATAACCAGTGCCCTCTCCACATTTGCACTTGTTTATCACTTCTTAATTTACAGTAGTACTGTACAAACAGGCTGGTTTTTGCAAGCATATTTGTCTACATTTTTTTAATACTACAGACTTAGTTTTTCTTTACTATCTTATGTACAATTCCAGATGCTGCCAGGAGTTAGTTGTTGAGAAATTTGCGAGCAAAAACAAGCACATCTATACAGTACTACTGCCAATCGAGAAGTGATTAATGAGTGCAAATGTGGAGAGGGTGCTGGTTATGATAGGGATTGTGTCACACTCCTACTGGTGGAGAGCTGCAGCATAATCATTTACATGTAGATATGTAGAAGCAGAACATGGAAGGCTAGTGGCGAGCTTTGAAAATTTGTGCTGATAGAGAGGCAGTACTAATCGAGAAAAGCTATTTTGTGAGAGGAGGTAAGAAGTTTTATCGGAATTAAACTTTTTCTTAAGTTATTTATGACAGAAGATGCTACACTATAAAGTCACTTAGTTGTCTTTTCACTCTTGTTGCTCTGCACAAGAGAAAAAAACAATAAAGCAAACACTAAGCTTTGATTACAGTTATTTCATAAGAGGAGAAAGCAGCTTGTGAAGTTGCTGAGAGACCAGATAACAATATAGGTGATAATGTTTTATATGATCATTCAGGATTGAGATTTCTACTGCAGTAACTATTAACAATTTACAACTGCCTTTTTTTTTATCAAGTTTCCTGTGCCACTCGGGTAGAGTGCCTTATGGAATACTATTTCTTATGATACCAATGAACTGTGTGTGCTTAGTCTGCAAGAACAAAAGCACCCAGTCACTAAATTTTAGTGGCAAATAGTATATGTTTAATGTTAAAGTGGTATAGTATTCCACCTAAAATGCTGTAGCATAAAGAATTTTTATGTCAGATTGCACATATGAAATTTTTACATTCAACTTCACATTGTGTATTTCAAAAAATTTCAATGTATAGTTGGACTGTATGTTTCACCAACCATCATACTATTTTAAAGCCTGAACTCTTGACCTCTCACAGGACAGTTGAAACAGATCTGATCTTCTTAATATAGTGAGAGATAATAGTTGTACTGGGCACTGTTTCAAACAACCCATTGTTAAGATATCTTAATTTGATATTTGTATGTTTACAGTTATGGAGGATATATTAGATCTCAAATATCAATCCCTACTGTGCACCTGGAAGATGCAGCTAGAATACTATTAACAATTTGGTCAATTAAAGTAAGTGTATTTCCAGCTTTCAGGATGATGAATGTGGAACAATCCCTGCATGTTCCTGTTTTCTGGATTATCTCACCTTCAGAAGTGAGATAATCAATCATTGAGATGTTGAAGATTGTGAAGTAGAATCTTGACTCCTGATTATCCTGCAGCCTCATCATAATTGGCACTGAAAACCCTAAGATGTCTACCCTGGGTGATGAAACAAGCTGTGCAAAGATAGTCTTGGAAGCACAATGCCTCCCAGTAAAAAAGATGCCAAGGAGAAATAAGGTACCACCAGAATAAGACATGAGCCCATCTCCAATGGGAACATGGGCTTAAGAAACCCATATAACAATTCTGAGTCAAGCAGAAAGTATAAAGCTGAATTACAAAGACATTTAAACAAAATATTCTTCTTGCCAGAGAAGCAACAGATGCACCAGAAATAGTGGCAGCAGTTGCATCTAAGAAGCACATGGAGGACACCATCAACCACTGACAAGATGGTTAGTTATCCAGGACCTACCAGTGAAGACTAACATTGGATTCAGGAAGGCTTTCACTTAAAAGTAGTTATGTGGTAGAAATGCCACTACCAAGCTCAAGAAACAAGACGGATCATTGCCAGAAGAATAAGAAGAGAGATTTCAGGACTGATGAAGAACTTTGCCAAGCTAGGTATGAGTTAGTT